GAGGTGTGGCCTTGTTGGAATAGGTGTGACCTTGCTGGAAGGGCATGGGCTTTGACTTATGTCAGGTCTAGTTTCTGTCTCTGGGCCTGAATGCCACCATATTACCCACCATAATTATAATAAGCATAATCTTTGAAATTGTAAGCAAGCCCCAAGTTGAACACTGTCTTTACTATGAATTGGTCATGATGTCTTTCTACAGCAACAGAGCAGTGGCTAAGACAATGGGGTGCCAGGTTGTCTAAGATCACACCAACTAAGAAAGCAAGAATTTGAACTCAGGTCATGTTAGTTCAGTGTTAGTAATCTGCTTTTAAGAAAATACAGAATGCTAAAATCTGAAATAAGATCTGTATCTCCCCAACTACGCTCACTGCTTCTCAACTCCTACTAACAAAGACTGGTGTATAAAGCTTCCGGAGGCCGACTCTGGCAGCATCCACATCATTTACCACAGGACAACGATTTCCAACTTCCCAGCAATTCCTGCAGCAATCCGAAGCTCAGGACACAATCGCTTTTCACCAGAGGTGAAAATTTCCTGTGGAGGGTAGCTACACACATGTGTACACTCCACTCCTGTGTAGGAAGAGCATAGCACTAAACCAACAGGCTCACACACACTAGACAGATGCCTTTAACTTGCCAGGTTGCTCAGATACAAATTGCTCCTATCCAACAGCAAGCAAACCTCAGGAAAAACAGCCTACCTGGCTAAAAGGTTTCCTCTTGTATGGCCTCGAGGGGCAGGCTCTAGTGACTACCTGTGAATAAAGTCTCATGGCCAGCGAAATGGAACAGGGGCTGATTTTGTGGATCTGTGATTCTGGGGGGAGGGAAAAGTGGGTGAAAGTCATAAGACTTAATGCACCTTCTCAGATACCCTCTAAAAACAAAGCAACAACAAGTTCTATGGATGTGTGGCAGATAACAAATTAATTTTTTCCTTAATGTAATTATTTTAACATGACTTTTTATATAACTTCCTACTTGGAACCTTGGGAGATTCTGAAAAACCACATCTTATAAATTGTAGATGTATGTAGCGAGGGACTGTTTATTTGTCCAGCAATACATTGAGAAAATGAATGGCTATTTGCCCAGTCACCACTGACTGGTCATGAATGCCAGTGTGTACAGCTCTGATTTGTCACGAAGACCAGTGTGTGCAGCTCTGATTGATCATAAAGACCAGTGTGTGCAGCTCTGATTGGTCACAAAGGCCAGTGTGTGCAGCTCTGATTGGTCACGAAGGCCAGTGTGGGCAGCTCTGATTGGTCATAAAGACCATTGTGTGCAGCTCTGATTGGTCACTAAGGCCAGTGTGTGTAGCTCTGATTGGTCACAAAGGCCAGTGTGTGCAGCTCTAATTGGTCACGAAGGCCAGTGTGTGCAGCTCTGATTGGTCACAAAGGCCAGTGTGTACAGCTCTGATTGGTCACGAAGGTCAGTGTGTGCAGCTCTGATTAGTCACTAATGCCAGTGTGTGCTCTCCTGACTACCTGCCAGTGTTGTTTTAGGTTTCAGGCAGTGATAACTGGTCTGCAGAGGAATCATGAGGTCATAGGTTCTTAGCACAGTTCTACTGTAGTTTGGAATGGCCCCTTGGAGGTGTGGGATAATTCCCAAAGCCCACACAACTTAGCCACTCCTTAGAGCACTAACCAATTTCCACTTGCTGGTGGCACACTTACCCACCAGTTCACGTTTATTCCGCTCTGGATCAAATTTGCTACTAAGCTGGCTGACAGTCCAAAAGCAGTTGCCACAGGTGATCTCAGACTTCACAGCTGCTTCTAGCATCTGAAATTCTCACCTTGAGAATGTAGCCTGATCCTATCTTATAAACAATAATATACATCAAAGGCTAAACAGAGCAGTATTGCCATTCAGCTGGCTGAGGGTCTGGTTGTCTACCCAAGCACACAATGCGAGCAGGCAAGGAGATCTGTTGCAGGATGTTTGACCACAGTGAACCCTGAGGTTGCATTATTTACTGGAAAAACCTGTTTCTAGTTGTGGTGTGGCTCAACCTTAGCACACAGCTTAAATCCAAGAGCTTTCTGACTGAATGTTGTAAACAGGATTAAATAAAGTCAACCATAAGTCAAGAGGCAGAGCAAGCAACCAGTTGACAGGAACTGAATATAGGACTAAGGAAAAAAATCAGAATGAGACATACACAGGAAGAAGAAGAGAGGGGTGTCAGTTTGAGGGGTCTGGTTTTGGATGGTATAAGAGAAGGCAGCAGGTTTCTGGGACTTCTGTGGAGTGTTTGGTTGGAACCTCTGCTCACTCCTGCACCATTTGAGAAGCCCCATTCCTGCCACTCTACACTCTCCACATCCCATCCACTCAGAGAATTCCTAAAAGGAAGGAACCAGAAAGTCCAGTTCTGCATTCCTGGCCATTACAGCAACTTCCTCCCCTGAAGTTTCTCCAGTAAACCAGATTAAGCTGAATTGAAAAAATATATATATAACAATAGGTTTATTTGAGCAAAGCAACTCTTGGGCATGAAGAAACCTATTATTGGGGGACAGAAAACATATTATGGAGGAGGAAGATCAACCGAGTGCTTTCCCTGCCTCTCTGAGCTAGCAGGTTTTTACCCTACCATCTGGCTCCAGAGTCTTGGTAAAATTGAATGCTAGAGATTTTGTTAAAAACAACAGAATTCTCCAAGAGCTGGCCTTTGGCGATTTATTTCCCTCTGTGGTTGGCAGAGAGAAGCAGCATTAAGTGGGGGAGAACAAGGGTTGCAGGCCTTGGCCCAGTGGGGGGGCACGTGACTGGCTCCTTGCCCTGGGGCTATTATGACTCAGGTGGATCTAGTAAACCAGGATTCCTGAGCCCTTGCTTGCAGCAGCTGTTGCAACCTCCAGGCTGGTCTAGTAGATCAGGATTCTCCAGACCTTGACTGTAGCCAGTACTACAACTCTGCACAGGCCTAGAAAGTAGATTCCTGAGCCTTTAACACTGACCAATACCATAGGTGGGTTCCGGGGCCCTTGACGGCAAACACTTAGCTCTCTGTTGACAGTGGCCTGCAGGTTCTCCGCTTCAGCTTCTTGGAGCTTTTGCTCCTTCCCTACCCCTTCTTGCTGTCTCTCTACTTCAGCCACCTTCTTCCTTCTGCCCTGATCGATTTGGAACAGTCCAGCAGCTTTAGAGGCCAGAGACTGGGCCAGCTTGACCTTTCCCAACCTGGCCTTGCTTCTGCTGTCTTCTATTGTTTCCCTTTGAGTTACCAGTTCAGCATCCATTATTAAGCACAGGCAAAAAGATATATTTATATCTATCTCTATCTCTATCTATCTATCTATCTATCTATCTATCTATCTATCTATCTATATTATTGGACTTGACATTGCAATGCCAGGCAAAGCACAGAGGAGTGAGTGTTTTCCAGTTGGTGGAATGAACTAAGAGCCTTGCTTAGGTTGGGACCAATCACAGCCTTCCTCTTGGAATGTTTCACTGTGTCAGCTATAGCTGTTGATCCCATCTCTTCCCCTCAGACAATAACTCCCTGAAGGTGGATGGAGACAGTAAGTCTGGTGTTAGAAGCCCTAGGAACTGGCCTTGGCCACACCCACTCTCCCACTGGCCACACCCACTCTCCCACTTGGCCACACCCACTCTCCCACCTTCCTCTTCAAGTGCTCTGATTCCTGGTTGCTGAAGCACACAGTATTGCTCAGATTTGGTGCCTTTGATTTTACAGATGTTTTAGAATGTGTTCTCCCAGCTTTCAATACCTAAAACCTTCTTGTCTAAAAACAAATAAGCATGCCAACTAAATCACAAAACAAAACACTACGCGAGATTCCCAAATCTTAGGGGCAAGTGAGGTCCTGGCCAATGATCCATTTGTAACCTTTGACCTGAGCTCCCTTCGGGCTATGTAGCGTGGGTTTTTCTGTAATCTTCCTGATCATGTATATTTGGGAACAAAAAGCCCCATGTGATCCGCCATTGTACACTTGTCCTACCCTCCATTCTGTGCCCTATCAGAGACAATTAGGAACGCAGAACACGGCAGCATCTTGGTTTGCCGCCTCTAGGAGCTTCCATTTCAGCAGGATCATCAGGTTAACGAACGCTGACAGCAATGATAGCTGGCCAGGAACCACTGAGGCACACACTGTGCACATGGCCTAAGATATCAGCCAGCAGGTCTTATTTTTATGAGCTGAAACTGGATCTTAGTAATTAGCATACTTTGCATAGATACTAAAAGCTGCTAGAGCAAAGAAGTATCTAGAAAATTCCTCACAAAAGACAGAGCTTGTGAGGCTCCTTCAAGTGTGGCTTGTTCACAAGAGGGTGAATCAACTGTTGTGATTAGAGAAGAAGCAAGCACTTCGTGGAATCCTAATGTTTGCTGTGGCCTTGCTGAAGCCAGGAGGAGGATTAAGTGCCTCTTAGAATCATTCCCTTTAATCCACGCCACAACGCGACGAAGTAGGCATTATTGCCAATTTTACAAGCCAGGAAGCTGAGATTTCAGGAGATTAAGTGACTAGTCAAGATCACATAGCGGCAGAAATGCTTCTGCAAGTGTCAGTCACACACTGAGCCATGCTGCCACCTCCAGAGCAGAGCACACCTCCCCCAGGGTGGTTTCTTCAAGGAGGCAGACTTCCTAGACACACGCACAAGTCAGGCTTTGGAGCCTTAAGCACAAGGCAGAACGTGGGGAGCTCAAGGCAGTGGATTGACTCTGAATACAGGGTTCTCCACCAGAAGAAACTAGGAGGCTGGGTAGGCAGAAGAGGGTTGTGGGGTAAAAGACAGGGGCCTGCCCTGACTCTGTATGGCATCTCTACACCCCAAGAAAGCACAAAGGTCACAGACTAGAGACCATATGCAAATCACTTTGTTTCTGTCTACCTGGGCTACAGAGACATGGACAGATCCCACTGAATACAGACTTTCTATAAGGAACACTTGCTGTTGACTGATGGGTGAAACAGATAATCACAAAGGAAACATACCTGGTCTCATTGGCACACCGGATCTTGCAGCCTTCCTTGGGAATCACCAACCCTAGATGCATTCGGAGTCTGCAGTTTGTGGGTCCCGTGTGTGGCCACACATGAGTTCCAGGATGCATGATGGAATATTTGATCTGCACAGAGTGTATGACATCCAATCATCCATTTATCAAGGTGTGGAGAAGCAGCAGAATCAGCATCAGTTAACAGGAGAGAGTCTTGGTAACCCTAGGGATTTACACTCGCATCCTATTTCTTTGCGAAGGAGCTAAAAAAAAAACCTAAGCACTCTCATTTTCCACCGAGTGATATAACGCTCAACACTTTCGACCTTCAAATTTTGACATCAACAATATGAAATTATGTTTCATTAAAGAGTGAAGGGAAAAAGAGACATCTCTTGTGTCACGGGAAATAATTGTGATTTTGTAAAGGTCAGGTCCACCTCTTTCCTGACAACACACTGTGTCCTTCCCATCTCTGAAAACACCCTTGGTACCTGTCCTCTCCTGCATCCTGTTGTCTCGGAGAATTTTTCTAATAAAGTACAGGTCTTAGGGGCTCCTTTGCAGGCATTCTCATTCTTCCTTCCTGGAATAAAATAGGGTTGAATGATTGTGAGAAGCAAATCACTGCCATGGTGTATCTGTGGTCTCAGTTACACTGGAAGCTGACTAGGAGGATCACTTGAGCATAGGAGTTCAAGACCAACCTGATCACCATGGTGAGACCCTACTGAAACACACACACACACACACCACATACACACCCACAACATACTACACACACACACAGACACACACACACACACCACACACACATATACACACACAGGCCACACACAGACACACAGACACATACACACACCCCAAAACCCAAACTACAGTTAAAACCTTATCTCATCCTATTTGGACCATTTGCACTCGTATAACCAACCACGTTCACTGTAAGAATGTGAAGGCCAAGAGAAAGACAGAGGCTGATGTCACAGGGCCCTTAAATGTGTAAAAGTGAGAGAGAAGAGTCAGTGATTCAGATGACAAAAGGTTGAGCAGCTATTGCTGGTTTTAGAGACTGAAGAGGACATAAGACAAGAAGCGTGGTGATTCAAGATTCTGAAGTCTGCTGAAGGACAATAAGTTGATTTTAGCCAGGGAAATGCACGCAGGCTTCTGAGGCTCACTTTCAAGTCACTAGTTTGTGCCGGGCAATAACTGGTTTGACATGAAGCCCACTCCACAAGATGGCGCCCATACTCAACAATGCTTGGGTGACCAAGAATCTTAGACTAGATAGCCCAGGGACCTAGGGGAAAAAGCAAATAACACTGGTCTAAAACAAAGAAAAAGAACTTAGTGATAAAATGCCATTAGTCCCTAATGACATTCTGCTCTACCCATAGATCAGTACCTTGCTCAGTCATCATCAGAGAAGCTTCCTCTCACAGCAGACGGAAAAAATAAATACAGATCCACAGCCAGATATCAGAGAAAGAGAGAGAGAGAGAGAGAGAGAGAGAGAGAGAGAGAGAGAGAGAGAATGCTTGGAATACTTAGCCCTAAATGGAATGTCTTCATCAAAACTCCCCTCAGGGCTTCAGAAACCCCACAGAAGAGGAGGCGAAGTGTAAGAGCCAGAGAGAGTAATGGAGGACACCAGGAGAACAAAGCCCTCTGAACCAACATGAACAAGGTGAAGGGGAATCAGTTTTCTCTGTGACACTCAATGGCAGGCCTCATGTCAAGAAGTGTTGACCAACATATAATGGACTATATGGTTTTCTTGTGGGCTTTTATTTGGTTACATTTTGGTGGGTTTGGGGAGAAGGGTGTTGTTTTATTAGTTTTGGTTTTGTATTGAGTTTTTGTTTGCTTTTTGAGAAAAATCTTAAAGTTGGGTGGGTAGGAGGGGAAAAAATCTGGAAGGGCTTGAGGAGGGGAAGAATGTGATCAAATGCATTTAAATTTAGAATTTTTAATAATAAAAATATAATGAAAAAGTTGACCGTTCAAAAAAAAATACAAGAGCTGAGGATAGAATTTAGTGGTACATGGTTTGCCAACCATATGTGAAGTTCTGAGTTCAAATCTTTGCAACACTCTTTGTCTTTTTGTCATACATGTATCTGCACACACACGCACGTATACACACACATGCACACTACAATTCAGTATTGATAACACTACTTAGAGACTATATAGACTATATAGGTCTACTGGGTTGTATAACAAAATAACACAGCTGAGTGGCTTAAACAACAAAAGCACAGCACATGCTTGCTATACACACACACACACACATACACACACACACACATACACACACACATACACACACACACATACACACACACATACACACACACATACACACACACACACTCACACACATACACACACACACTCACACACATACACACACACACACTCACACACACACACACACTCACAATTATTCTGATTCAGAATGGAAACCAGGACATAAATTCAGTCTATTTTAAAACTAATAACTCAAGTGAAAAATTGCACACATGTAGATGAAGCAACTTAACCCACACATTCATTAACCTTAAATGCTTATAATAATAAAGGATGCAATGAATTTACTATGTATTCCAATTAAATGTTTATCAGAAGAATTAAAAATCAACAGAAAGAACAACAAGAATAAGATTATGAATGTGGAATTAGAAAACAGCCAGAACATATTAAAAACAACAACTTTATCCTTTGCTATAGCCCCCACCCATGCGGACCTCACTTTGCCCCACGGCATCGCCTACATCTCACAGTAGCAGACAGAGGTCAGAGACAGTGATGGAGGTGGAGGGCTTTCAGGTGCACATACACAGTAGAGGTACAGTAAACGGTGCGCCCTTTAACAGAGAAGACGGGGACAATGGAACACCCTTCCCGGCTTATCCAAATACACATATGTAGACACGGATCCATGCACAGGTTTAAAATCAGTGAGTGCATATCCAAACCCTTTGTTTCACAGGGGACCTTGCCTTCTGGTCGGTGCATGCAGAAGCTAATCCAGAAGGCCTGGGCTCACCTTGCTGCCACAGTGTGAACTGGCTCCAGTCTCCCTTCTCCCGGAGGTTTTCGTCCTCAGGCAGGAAGAGACCCCTGGCTTTATCCATCACCATGAGGCCTTCATCGCGGATTAGCTTCCAGTTTCTCTCTAAAGACTTCAAGGAAGATTTTAGTTTCACCGAGATGAAAAACAAGTCTCGCAGGACATCTCATGATGACTTTCAGCTTTCTTACTTGTTTAAGAAAAAAATAAAATTCTTGCTTACATTTAGATTGCTTATTTTACTTTTTTGGGAACCTCTTCTCAAGTCTATTTAAAGAGAAAGACAGATGTAGGGAGGGAATTGATATTGGGAGGGCAGCTTATTATTCGTTAAGAGCAGTTGCCAACTCCTCTTGCAGAAGACCAGGATTTGGTTCCCTGTACTCACAAGGTGGTTTATTGCTGTGCCCTAAATTAACCTGTAAGCCCCACCTGCCCAAGGACCAGGTAGCTTCTTGGAATGGAATGCTGGGAGTTGTAGTTCTTAAAAATAAGAACAAAGCCTCATGGGAAAGTATGGTGCCCTATGGGTTTTATCCATAAAAGCCAGGACAATTGATCTAGGGGTCACTCAGCTGGGGTAGTTTCAAGGAGTGATTCTGATCAAATTCCATTTGGGCCAGTATATAAAATTTTAATAAAAAATTTGCTTTAATTTGGGCCAAGATGGTGGAACTGGTTTTTCTTTAACAACACAATTGTCTTTAATTCAAGTTCCAGGATTTCGCAGGTACTCTGTGGACATGAGGTAGACATGCAGTGCAGAAGCATACATGCAGTGCAGAAACACACATGCATGCCTCCCCTCCCCACAATAAAAATGGAAGAATGAACCTTACAAACTATGAGAATCATTCTTGCTATAATTATTTGTACGTGCCGAAAGTCTCCCCTTCCTTCTTTTCTATCTCTGTCCTCTCTCTCTCTCTCTCTCTCTCTCTCTCTCTCTCTCTCTCTCTCTTTCTCTCTCTCCAATCTTGCTGACAGTGCAATGATTAAGTCCCGTATGACCCCAGTGTCCACACTGGAATACAGGGCACAGACTCAGTTTCAATAGAGTTCCTTATAGAGATGCCATTCGACAAGGCAAATAGTAGTTGAAGGGTCAAAGGTATTGGGAAACTGACCACTGAAGTGGGGTGCATTATAAAGCTCACAACAAAACACAAATACCTTTAGAATTCAGCCAAACGAACATGTCCTCAACTTACTAATGAGACAGCTTTAGCCTCAGCTGGGGCTTGACACAGACAGAGTCAGTGACTGATCCTGCTTGTTCTTGTCAACATCACACTGTGTTGTCCCTGGGGGCAGGAAGGTTGGTGGGAACAATGGGTAGAAGCAGGCAGGAGTGAGTCTACAGAACCATGGAGGTAAAGAGTGAAACTAGGCTTGGAAACAGAAAGCCCACTGTTCTGTGTTCCACAAAGACTGGACGGACTAACAGGGCACAGGAGCACAGACAAGCCGGAATGCACTGCCTGGATTTCAAAAAGAATCAGGGATCGCGCAAGATCAGGCAGACCACACTGTGGGTGGCTTATTCGCAAGCAGGACACTGGAAGTCACGACACAAACAGCAACATTTTCACACACAGTGTGGAGACAGTGCTTTCTGGAAGTGAATTGAACCGCCTTGTGAACAGTATTCTGTCTTTACAGTTAACCGAGAAAAATGACCTACTGTTGGGTAAAAAGAGTCACAAGATAGAAGAAAAATGCCTTTTCCCCCCTACCAACCCATGTTCCATGAATTCACGATTTAATAAGGGAGGAAATCTGATTAAATCAGGATGACTGCACAGGTAGAAAACTCAAAATAAGAAAAACCCAACAAAACAGATTTCCAGATTGGTGTAGGGGCTATTCCAGCCCAGCATGGAGCTGGACCTCATACATAATTTCAAATTGCCTCACGCATTTCCCCAAAGAGTGTGCACTGAAATTTGACACGTAAACAGGGTGTAGCCAACTCAGGGAGAGCGTCAGTGACTCTCAGCCAATCAACAGATACCAACTGTTAAAATATTCAAACAGGAGAGACTCCAGCTGAAACCAATATGGCTACTTCACCTAGCTTCCATTTTTTGAAAGTCACATTCTTTCCTCTGGCTATAAATACAATCAGCTCCTGAGGTAGAGAATTCTGAGATACTGAATGCAGACTGCTCCCCAATTCCGGAACCACCAATAAAGGCCAATTGAGACCTGTGTGGCTAGATTTGTCTTCCTCTCTTTTCACACCAGCGAGCATTTTAAAATATACATAAGGGCTCTTAAAATATTGCAGGGCAAGAGATGTGGTTTAGAGAATGCTTGGACAATTCTGTTTCCGTGAGAGCCATCACCACCTCCCTCCACCCTGTACACTTCCTCCACCAGTCGCCTGGGTGGAGGGTGCCAATCACTTGTCCTTGTTCAACCCAGTCCAACAACCACTTTCCCTCTTTCATTCATCCCAAGTTGGCACTTTAGAGCTAGTAAGTCAAAGAGCACTTCCCATAAAGGGAGACTCAAAAGTCCTTGCTGTAGTAGCTCCCTGGCGTGAGGGAACTGGATGATTTTGCTAAGAATTTTGAGATTGTAGGAAAGAACAAGAGTTCAGCCTAGGACTCTGCAGCCCCTCCCCTCCTGAATGCCCCTGCGTCGCCACCTTCTTCAGTGTGATTCTAGCTTGTTCAAGTCGCTAGATAAAGCTGTTCCATTCCTGTGAACCTGTCATGAAGACAAGGAGAGGAGAGAATTACCTCTCTAACACATGAAATTACTCTCCCAATGAGGTTCTAGGAGGCCTTATAAGGGCAAGCCTTTTCTTCCCCCATCGCTGGTATTTTAGACACTTCTTTTATTTCTTCTGGAAGCTGATTTTAAGGGCATCATTGGGAACAGCTGATCTTTTGATACTAAAAGAGGGCACAAAGTCCCAGGAGAAAATGTTAAAGCGACTGCGTCATTCAATATAATTTAAATTTTCTCCTGCAGAACAGGCTGTCTCTTTCTATAAAATGTCAGTCCTCACCTTCACCCTCAGCCTCTGTGGGACATGTTGCCAAGGTACTTTTCCACTGTTGTAATGATTTTCTCTCTCTCTCTCTTTCTTTTCCTTTCGTGTTTTTAATTAACTAATTACTTTTACTGGTGTGTGTGGAGGGGGACACGTGTGTGTCACAGTGTGCATTAGAAGGTTTGATGACAATTTGGAGGAGTCCTTCATCTTCTACCATGTGAATCCTGGAAGTCAAATCCAAATCACAGGTTTGGCAGCAACCACCTTTACCTACGGAGCCAGGTAGTCTACCCGGATTTTGTTTTAAAGCCTTCTGTTCCCTTGTAGGTGGCAGTTGAGCTGGGTGACAGCTCCAACCCAGAGAGCATGAAGCAATGCAGAGGGGTCCTAGCGCCTGCTCCCAAACCATGGGCTAAAATGCCACACGTTTCCCGTCTTTGATCTTGGTTGTCAACTGTCATCTGTAGTGAATGGCCTGAGACGCCTGGAGAACTAGAATAACACATGTCTCAGGCACACGTGTGGATACTCCCAGAGACAAATGGCTTGAAGACTGGAGAAGGGAGCTGGGGAGGCCTGCCTTGAACAAGGGTGGTACCGTCCAATTGACTAAGAGCCTGAATGGGATCGAAATCAGGAGGGGGAGAAAGCTGATTTATGATAGTCCTTCCTTCCTTCCTTCCTTCCTTCCTTCCTTCCTTCCTTCCTTCCTTCCTTCCTTCCTTCCTTCCTCCCTCCCTTCCTTCCTCCCTTTCTCCCTCCTTCCTTCTCTCCCTCCCTCCCTCCCTCCCTCCCTCTCTTTCTGAGATTATATTTCTCTCGAGTGTGTGAGATTTCCTGCTGCTGACCCTTTCAGAGGACATCAGCCTCCATCCAGCCTTTGAATTCATTTTCACTGGCATCTTGAGATGGGGCTTAGACCCGCGGTCTCCCATACAGCTGCATCTTTTTGTTCTTCTGGCTTCTAGCATCGAGCTGCAGGGATTACTTTCCTCAGCTCTCCGGGCTGCAGACAGCCCCGCTGTGACACCAACCGACCTCTGGTCATCGAATAAATCATGCTCTAATCAAATGTATATGCTATTGGTTGTGTGGCAGACTGCTAAGATCAACCGAGAGCTACAGAGATTTCTACTTCTTTCCGTGGTAGGACATCAACTTGTTATTTTCTCTTTTGAGTTCAATACTCTGTCATAGAAATGAATGGCTGGAAAGATCTTTACTGTTGCTTTGGAGGAAAGCTTTTCTCGTCAGGGAACACAAAAGACTCTACAAGCGGATACTAAGCCTGCAGCCTGCAGGCCTGTGCCCAGCAGAGCCAGTACCAGAAAGCCTCTGTCTCCTCCTCAGCCACCCCTGAGGCACCCATGGAAAGAAAGAGGGTCACACTTCGGCACAGAAATTTCGCTATGGTGAGCATTAGCATGTTCCCCCCCCCAAAGCCTTCAGGAATTGGGGTTGACATGGGCTCCCATGCACAGTGGTTCATACAGGCATGCTCAGGCACTGTGGGGATGGCCTGGAAATGCTTTTAACTATATACTAAGAAAACAAGTACGCAAAATTCAAACCTAGTTACTCAGAGCACCAAAGTGTGTGTGTGCGCTAGTCACTTTTGTGGGTGCAGCGCACACCACTGACTGGGTGGCTTAGGAACAATAGAAATCTAGGTTTTCATTTCTGGGCACGCAAGTCCCGGATCAAGGAACTGGAAGATTTGGTATCTATGGAAGAGTTATTTCATAGCGCTGCTTTGCACCCCAAGACTCACAATGACTCTACAGGGTAAGGAAAGGGAATCTTAAGTGTCCAGCTCCTTACAAAATTCCCACCTGTGAATGCCTTCACCATGGGGTCAGGGGTTCCACATATGGGCATGGCAGGGACACAGCGTCCAGAACACAACAGAGTGAGTCTGTGTGTGGGGTGGCACAGGGTAAGACAGGAAGAGAGACAATTTGTATTTTCTCCACCGCCATCTGAGGTGCACATTTTTTTTTTTTTAAATTATAGCAGAAACATGGACACAGAATGAGTAATACCTATCCATTTTTCAAGGCTTTCTTGGAACTTGCTCCGTAGACTGGGCTGGTCTTGAACTCTCA